CGGATATTCAACTCGATATTGGTTTTATGAACTCGATTTCTAAACTTAATTTTGGAAGGTAATAAAAAAAAAACAAATCAAATGACACAAATTGCAAAACAGTTTGGTTTCTAAACCGGTGTGGTTTTCAATTTAAGTTAAATTCGGTTTGCTTAGGTTTAACCGAATTGGTCAGCTTCCCACTCACACACTCCAATCACAATCCAACGTGGCAAAACTGAGAATCACGATAACACGTGTCAAACTACTAGTGGCTGAAACCATATCCAAGTTATCTAAAAGAACAACATGAATCAGATAAGGTTACTATTCTTTGTCACATAACCAACACTCACAAATTATAACTCAAAACAAAAGTCTTTTAATCAAAATTATCAAAACACACACAAAAATGGCTCAAGCAGTGACTTCGATGGCTGGTTTACGTGGCGCATCTCAGGCCATTCTTGAAGGAAGTCTTCAGATCAACGGCTCAAACCGTTTGAACATCTCAAGAGTCACGGTTGGGTCTCAGAGAACCGGACTTGTGATCAGGGCTCAGCAGACCGAGTCGGTTCCGGAGAGTAGCCGTCGGTCAGTGATTGGGCTCGTAGCTGCTGGTTTAGCCAGTGGTTCGTTTGCTAAGGCTGTCTTCGCCGCCGAAGCTATTCCGATCAAAGTTGGTCCTCCTCCACCTCCCTCCGGTGGTCTCCGTAAGTAAAAAACTATAAACTCATCCACATGCATTATTCACTCTTTCGATTAAATAACGTTTTGCTTGAATTAATATTAAAGAAAAAAATCATGTAAACCAAATAAATCCGGTTCAACTGACGGTTTGGTGTGAATTGGTTTCTTTGAATTGAACACTCTTAATTGTTCAAGTATAGATCTATAATCTACTATTTCTTTTTCTTTTTGAATAAAATGTTAAATTATGATTTAATTCGAATGCGATTTTAGTTTTCTTGTTGGTTTAAAAATCAAACCACTTAAACCAAACGAAAATCCGTTAGACAGATTCGGTTTATTCGGATTAAACGTCTTAATTGTAAAATCATATCCCAAATGGCATTATCATCCACCATTTTATTTGCAAAAATAAAAAAGATGGACGGCAAAATCATACGTAAATTGTTTCATATTTTCATTTATCTCGTTTTTTTTAATAAATAATATGGATTTGACGCTTATTTTATTCAAAAATATCATGTTATGTCATTTGGTAACACATGTACGTATTTTCTGTTTCTTGTTATGTATCTTTAAATCATTTTTTTTTTCAAGTTTTCTAAAAGTTTTGGCTAAAATTGTAGAATTTTTATTCAACATCTCACAAACAGGTCATAAATTTACTCTAGATATCGGTTCTGGTTTGATCTTGTGTTCTATTATATTAAGTGTGGCTTTGATTTGTGTTTATGTGTGAGCAGCCGGAACAGAGAACTCAGACCAAGCAAGAGACTTTTCATTGGCATTAAAAGACAGGTTTTACTTGCAGCCATTGACACCAACAGAAGCTGCAGCTAGAGCTAAAGAATCTGCAAAAGAGATCATAAACGTTAAGTCATTGATCGACAAAAAAGCTTGGCCTTACGTTCAGAACGATCTCCGTTTAAGAGCATCGTACCTCCGTTACGATCTTAACACCGTTATTTCCGCTAAGCCTAAGGAAGATAAACAGAGCCTTAAAGAACTCACCACCAAGCTCTTCCAAACCATCGACAACGTAAG